AGGTTCTACCCTAGCACCAAGGATAAATAACATTTTCAAACCAAAATTTATACTTTATGACCAGAAAGTCCCTAAAGAACCTGCAGGAGAAAAGTTTCAAGAAGAACCTGACACTCAAGAAGGGATCATAAACACGGCTGGGTATTGCCACGTAACACGTGGACATCAGACAGTGGCTGAAGTGACGGCGGTTTCCTGGCAGTTGCCCTGGGTCAGGCAGTCGGGAGCAGCCACACGGGCCTGTCCTGACCTGGGGCTACTGGAGGCTAAAGCAAGGGAACTGTGGGGCTCTGCCACTGGTGGCTGAGGACCCACTTTCAAGATGGCGCACATGCATGGCCGTTGGCAGATGTCTGCTTCTGGGCTCCAAGGGGCACCTGAGTGTTCTTACAGAGTGGCAGTCACTTCCCCAGAGGTCATGACCCAAGAGAAAGAGCCGGGAGGAAGTCACCTCTGGGGCTGGGGATGCAGCCCAGTGGTAGAGCGCTTGTCGACCATGTGTGAAGCCCAGGGTTGAATGGGTTCCATCCCCAGTACCAATTTATTATTATTATGATATAATATAATGGTATATTACTATTATTGGTTTAAGTTTACACACACAGAAAATAAGTGCCTAGGACAAGGCTAGCCTTATCCACTTAGCTAGATCCTGCCCCAAAATAAAAAGGGTTGGCGGTGTAAGCTCAGTGGTAGAGTGCCCCGGACTCAATCCCCAATACTACAAGAAAGGAAAAACAAAAGAAAAGATATTCAACCAAAAGGGAAAAAATTCAGAAAACATAATGAGATGATAGAGAAGCCCGTTGGGAATCACAATTTATGTAAATGACTCAAGCACATTGATTAAAGGATAAAGTTGTCAGATTAGATTTTTAGAAATTAAAATTAGTCTGTTTTAAGAGATACACCTGAAAGAGAATTACAACAGAAAACAAAGACACAAATTTTAGTCATATTAATGTAAAACAAAATAGGGGTTTTTTGGTTGTTTATTGTTTTGCTTTTGTTTCATTTTTTGGTACTGGGATTGAACCCAGGGCTCTACCACTGAGCCACCGCCAGCCCCTTATTTTTATTTTATTTTATTTTATTTTTTTTTGAGACAGGGTCTTGCTAAGTTACCCAGACTGGCCTCAAACTCGAGCACCTCCTGTGTCAGCCTCCTGAGTCACCAGGACGACAGGTGTGCCCCACCATGCCCAGATTAAGGCAAGAGATGGCACTAAACATAGTAAGGGTAACTACCTAGTCATAAAAAACTAATTTTACTACTAAGATATAACAATCCTTAACCTGGGATCACCCAGTAATATAGCCACAAAATATGTAAATGACAAAGATCTGCAGCGATTTTCCCACAGAGGAACTGCAGACGGCAAACACGTGAGGAGATGTCAGCCTCACCAGCCCCTGGGAATGAGCAGATGCGGGCTGCGGAGATGTGCACCCCGCCAGGCGGCCCATGAAGCCGGCCCATGAAGCCGAGTCCACACCACACCCAGCCCTGTGCAGAGAGGCCGGCCCTCCACGCGCTGCTGGCTGGAGCTTCAAGTGGGACAGCGTTTTCAGCCGGTGTGAGCACAGCCCTTGGCTGGAAGTGCTCAGAGACCAGCAGGCAGGCAGATCCAAGATGGAGAGTGAGGTTCATGGGGTCTTAGTGGACAGAGTGTCGGACAGCAGCCACTTATGTGCTAGGTAGGCCAAGGTGGGCCTCCTCCCATGGGAATCTCTGTCTCAGCAACTAGTAGCACGCAACGTCAGGAAACTCCAGGCACCAGTGGCTGCAGGGAGGCCCCACTGACCACACTAATGACCGCTTTATCCCCGGGGTTTGCAGTGCATGCCAGGGCCACCTGGCCAGCAAGATGGCAGTCACCACCAGGATGGCTGCAATCATGTCAAGCTGGCTTCCGCCCACAGCCACTGTGGAAAGTAGTAACTATTTCAAAACTAAGATTGATGTGGGCACAGTGGTGCACGCCTGTAATCCCAGGGGTTCAGTTGCAGGCCAGCCTGGGCAATTAAGCAAGACCCTGCCTCAAAATAGAAAATAGAAAAACCGGGGCGGTGGCTCAGTGGTAGAGCACCCCTGGGCTCAATCCCCAGTACTCTCCGCACCAAAACCCCAACAACTAAAATCGGTTTACTGCATGGTTGTTACTTTTTAAAAAATATTTATTTTGTAGAAGTAGTTGGACACAACACCTTTATTTTATTTATTTTTATGTGATGCTGAGGATCGAATCCCAGGCCTCGCACGTGCTAGGTGAGCACTCTACCGCTGAGCCACAACCCCAGGCCCACGATTGTTACTTTTAAGTGTCTGCTCAGCCATGCTGTGGTACCCAGACCTTCAACACCTGTGGGGACATTGCTGTGATGGGGTGTGTCAGAAGTGAGTCATGTTTCAACCAGTAAACTTTGGGTAAAGCAGGTCTCCTTCCATACATTGGGTGGGCCTCATCCCGTTAGTTGTAGGCTCTGAGAGGAAAGCTGAGGTCCTCCTGAGAGGCAGGAGTCTGGCCTCCAGATGGCCTTTGACCCGGAAGTTGTGCCATGTACCCTGCTGCCCACTGAACTGTTCTGCAGACCCAGAATCAGGGCTGTGATCAGGCGCGCCCCTCCCCACTGCATCCGCTTCTCTGAGGAACTCTGACTAATCCATCACCTAATCCCACTCATGGGCATTTATCCCAGAGAGATGAGCTTATTTTCATGCAGGAACATGTACACGAATGTTCATAGCACGTCGTTTATATATAAAATGGGAAGCCATGCGGACAGACACTTCTCAATGATGATTGGTCAGACAACCGCAGTAGAGCCAGGTGCAGCCACACCTGTAATCACACCTGTAATCCCAGTGACTGCGGAGGCTGGGGCAGGAGAGTCCCAAGTCTGAGGCCAGCTTCAGCAATTTAGTGAGGCCCTATCTCAAAAGGGCAGGGGATATGGCTCTGTGGTTAAGAGCCCCTGGGTTAGATCCCCAGTATCAAAAACAAAACAAAACCCCGTGGCATATCCACACCCTGGAATACCACTCAGCAATGAAAAGGAGTGGGGGACAGCGTGGGTGGAGCAGTAAGACAACCAAACAATAACAAAAATAATAAGCAGAAGATGTGTCTGCCCCTGGACACTGACTTCTGAAGGAAAAGCTGAGGCGGGAGGCCAGGGCCTCAGCTGTCTCAGCCACAGGCCCTCCCTGGAGGTCTGAGTCTGGCTGAGGAGGGGCACTCCACACTGCTCTGCCTGGAGCCCTGCCCTGCTGAGGTCCCTGGGGGAACCCTGCTCCCGGTCCCCGAGTCCACCTCCCAGAAGCCCAGCACCCAGCAGCTGTCTCCGTGCCAGGAAGGGCTGTCCCCTGCCCTAGTTCCACTCAGAAAGCACTCCGCTCTCGGCCCGTCCTGGCCATCCCTGCTCAGCCGCTTGCCCTTCTTGGCAGGCTGGTCCAGGCGCCTGGCCAGAGCCTGTCTGCCCCAGGGCAGGGGCTGGGCTCCCCACGGACCCTGCCCCATCCCATCAGGCCTGGTGGGGAGTCCAGCTACCCCAGGCTTGTCTGTTCAAGGACAGTCCAGAACACCAGGAAGCCCATTAGCTCTGGTAGGATGGAGGCCACCACTGCCCTTTCACAAGATGGGCCTTCTCTGGGCTCCCTTTGTCCTTCCCTTTCAGGCCCCTGTGCCTGCCTCTCCCCCCTCTGGTTCAGGGTGGGAGAAAGGGCCTGGAGGGATGTGGGGTGGAGATGCTGGCCGGACACTGGGGCCTGGAGCCCAGGGCTGGCCACACCCAGAGAGTCTTCTGGAGACCCTCCAGGCTGAGATCTGGGAGGCTGAGTGACCTCCCGGGTTCCCACCCCTCCCTCTAGGGTCCTGAGCTAGAAGAAAGACGCCTTTACTGAGCTGTGACCCAGACCCTCGGCCTGGGCAGCAATCCCAGCCCAATCGTCCTGCCTGTTCTGCTGGCTGGGCCATTGCCCACACCCATCCCCCATCAAAGGCCTTCCTTTAGCTCAGCTGGGTTCCTGCTCACCCTGGTGGTCTTACTGGGTTGCCATGGGGATGGGATTTGGCTGCAACTCCCATTTGGTAAGTGCACAAAGCTGGTGGCCCCTGGTGAAGGAGGCCCTGAGCCTGGTCGGGCTGACCTGCAGGTCCGTGTGGTGTCAGAGGACAGGCATTCTGTGGGTTAGGAGGGGCAGGCTTGGGCCTGGGACTAGAGAGCACTTGTCCACTCCAGCCAGCCTGTTGCTGACCAGCTCCCAGGCCTGGCAGGGGGTCCTCTTCCTTGCCCTCCAGGGTGAGGCCTGTGGGAGGCAGACTGTCCTTTGTTCCCCTGGGAAGCCAGGATGGCCAAGGCCCTTAGCTAAAAGAGACTGAGGCCCCATCCTGCTCAGTTTCTCTTCTGTTTCTGGGCTTGGTCTGACCATCCCTGTCCTTCTCTGCCTCAGTGGCCTCAACTGTCACCATAGTAGAGGGATGTGTGAGGTACAACTGACTTAATTCTTTCTGTTGCTCAATTCAAGTGCCCAGGTAGGCAAGAGCAAGCTCACCTGAGTCAGAGTCAGCTCAGTGCCCCGGAGCTGACTTGTGCAGGCGGGCAGCCTCGGGTCAGTCAGCACAGAAGGCTGTGGGTCTTGCAGAGAGGGTACCCCAGGAGCCAGCTTGGTGCTCGTGCAGAGCATTGTGCTCCACAAGCAGGAGCTGAGTCTCACTGTCCTCCTGAGGCCCCAGCCTGGAACCCAAGAGGCGCCTGTGGGTGGCTCCTCCTTCCCCTTTCCCAGGCCACGGAAAATGACTGACCCTGATGCATCTTAGCCCCCAGCCCCGCGCCAGGTATCCTGTTCTCATGGCTTCACAGGACAGGGCTGGGTGCTAAGTGGGCAGGAGGTAGGAGGGTGGGAAATAGTAACAGGGTCACCCAGCTGCGATCTGAGGCACTCAGGCAGAGGGAACGGCAAGGATGCGAGGATGACTCAGCCGGGTCGCGTCTCCTACCTGCGCTCCGGGCGGAGGCGGAGATGGGACTTGTGGGCGTGGCCGCACGTGGGCGTGGCCTCCGCGCCCCGCCCCGGGCGTCTATCCCGCGGCCCGGGCCACCCGGGCCTCTCAGCTGCCGGCTGCCCGAGGGTCCCCGGCTTGTCCTCCCGCGTGCCCGCCCATGGCCAGGAAGGTGTTGTCACTGCTGCCTCCTCTTGTGCTGGCTGCGGCCGGCCTCTCCGGCCTCCTGCTGCTGTGCGTCCCCACCCGCGACGTCCGGGAGCCGCCCGCCCTCAAGGTGCACGCCCGGGCACCCGGCGCACGTCCGGGAAGCAGCGGGTCCCGCAGGCCGGGAGCCGGGCGGGGGCGGCTCGGAGTCCACGCGGTCCAGCGGCACTCCTGCGTTAGCCGGCGACCACCCGCGCTGCGCTCGGGAGGGCCTGGGTGGGGTCCTGTCCCGCGCTGGTCCCTACGCGTCCTCAAGGCGGCACCGGCGCTTCCGGGACCACGCGACACTGGAGGTCGAGGTTGCGGGAACTCCCCGGCCGCCGCAGAGCCTGCCAGCGGCCAGAGAGCTGTCTCCTGGACCCAGAATGCTGCCCCGGCACCCCAGGCTGTGGCCAGACGCCTTCCTCCAGCCCAGCGCGAGCCTCAGGGCACTCAGGGCCACCTCCGCCTTGCGCGGTCGCCCAGGAGTGCGCAGTTAGAGGCATTCTGCTCTGGATGCAGCCCAGATGGGGAGCTATGGGCGATGACGGCCGGGGATCCCTTCCCGCTATCGGGTGGCCAGGACAGTGCGGGTGGGCGCTGCGCCTGGAGCAGGGCTTGGCTGGCGCTAAAGGGGTTGAACTGGGCTAGGCCAGATCTCCACCCCCACTCCCACCCCAGGTCCAGCGGCCTCCCCACTGGCTCCTTTAACCCTTTATTGCGCTTGTGTGGGGTGAGTGTGGGGGAGTACTGATCCAGGCCCCACAAGCCCGATGGGAGGGGGCTCTGTGGCTATGCAAAATGGGGATGGGGCTGCCCTCCGTGGGTTCTGGGGAAGTTCCTTGACGGGGAGGTTTGTGCAGCCATCCCAAGCTGGAATCAGCACTGGGCTGTGAGTGGAGGACAGGTGCTGAGATGGAGGGGTCACTCACAGGCTGGGTCCAGGCAACACCTGCCAGGCCCATCCTGAGACCCCTCTGCTCTGCAGGACCAAACTGTGTCTGGCGCTGGCTTTGATGCCAGGGAGGGCAAGGATTGGAGGCCCATTCCCAGTCCTAGCCAGCTTTCTTCTTGGGTGGGCTGAAGTCAGAGCAGGTGGAGGCGGAGGCAAGAGGAAGAAAGGGCAGCTTGGTGCGGTTCCTTCCTCTCCCTAGACCCAAGGAAAAAGTTTTGTTCCCAGGACAAAGTTTCAGATGTTGCCTGGGACCCTCTATCCCTGGCATAGCCTGCTGGTTGCCCCTGCCAGTAGGCCTGCTTCCTGGTGCATGGCCAGCCAGCTTCAGGTAGCCAGAGGGAAATGGTCACCCCAGTTATATTACCCCACCCCAGTTCTCCTTCCAACCAAGCCCTGTCTCTGTGGCTGAGTTGGCCTTCTCTGAATTTCGGCATGAAGCCCACCACATGACAGGGCGGGGTGGAGACCAAAGGGCATGGCCTTAAGTGCCCTCGACCCTCCAACTGACTCTCTCCTCTCCCAGTATGGCATTGTCCTGGATGCTGGCTCTTCACACACGTCCATGTTTGTCTACAAGTGGCCAGCAGACAAGGAGAATGATACAGGCATAGTGGGCCAGCACAGCTCCTGTGATGTCCAAGGTGAGGTCTCCAGGGCACCAGTGCTCCCCAGCCTGGACACCACTCCTGTGGGGTCCCAGGGGCCTTCTCCAGCCCCTGGGAGAGGCTTGATCCTGGGTGGAGCTCACTCCAGAAAGAGAGGCTGGGTCCTCTGTGCTGGGAAGGGGATGGGTACTCTGTGTTCCAGAAAGGGAAGCTCCAGGGAGCGGTGGAAGGTCCAGGCCTCACCTGGCCCAGGACTGACCTCTAAGCCCCAGACAGAGCAGGAGGGGCTCTGAGGATCCAGCAGGCCCATCCCGGCAGGTCCTGTGGGAGGCTGAGCTGGGTTGACAATGCCCAGCGCACCTGTGCCCACACCCACCCCGAAGGCGGCAGCCTCAGAGACTCTGGGTGGCACCTGGGCCCCTTTGTCTTTGAACTGGGTGTCTCTGGGGGCTTAAGCTGGGAAGGTGTGTCTAAACTACCTGGGAGAAGCCAGTAGTACCTGGTTGGGAGTCCAGTCCCCCAGCCCCACTGGACTACAGCCCACCTGGGGACCATTTACAGGGGCTGGGCATCTCTCTACCTCCTTCTAGGTGGGGGCATCTCCAGCTATGCAGATAACCCTTCTGGGGCTGGCCAGAGTCTGGTTGAATGTCTGGAACAAGCACTTCGGGATGTACCCAAAGAGAGACACGCTGGCACCCCCTTATACCTGGGAGCTACAGCAGGCATGCGCCTGCTCAAGTGAGCTAAATGTCCCCTGACTTGCCCTAGGGCCCCAGGACAGCCCCTGCACAGGGTGGACCCCACATGCCCTTGGTAGCAACTCTGGGCTGGAACCTCCTCACTGGGGAGTGCCCCCTGCAGCAGGATCACAGCTACCTGGGGAGCAAGCCCCTCAGAGTTCTCCCTGCCCCACAGCCTGACCAGTCCAGAGGCCTCAGCCAGTGTGCTTGCGGCAGTGACGCGGACGCTGACCCAGTACCCCTTTGACTTCCGTGGTGCACGCATCCTCTCTGGCCAGGACGAGGGAGTGTTTGGCTGGGTGACTGCCAACTACCTGCTGGAGAACTTCATTAAGGTGGGCCTGGAAGCTGCTCCAACGAGCCCAGGGACACCTGCACCTGGCCCCTGGCTGACCCAACCTCCACTCTCCACAGTACGGCTGGGTGGGCCGGTGGTTCCGGCCCAGGAAGGGGACGCTGGGGGCCATGGACCTGGGGGGTGCCTCCACACAAATCACCTTCGAGACGGCCATCCCAGCTGAGGATCCAGCCAATGAGGTCCAGCTACGGCTCTACGGTCAGCACTACCGGGTCTATACACATAGCTTCCTCTGCTATGGCCGAGACCAGGTCCTCCAGAGACTGCTGGCCAGTGCCCTCCAGGTGCCCCTCCACCCCAGCCCACCCCACCTGAGGGAGGGAGCAGAACAGATGGAGTCAAGTGCCCCAGAGCAGAGGGTGGAGGTGACCATGCCCACGGGGCTCTATAGCTAGGCTCCTTAGCTGGGGGACTCCACAGGAGCAAAGAGCCAATGCTGAGGATCAGGATGGAGAACTGAGGGCCAGGAACAGATCTCAGAGGGCCCCGAATGCCATCTGTGGCTCCTGAGCAAAAAGTGATATTGCCCAAGTTGGATTTGTGGGGGATTCACCAGGCTGGTCCTCAGGGGTGGGGATGGCAGGAGGGGCTCTGAGGATTCAGCAGACACATCCAGGCCGGTCCCTTGGGAGGCTAGGCTGGGTTGACCATGCCCAGCGCACCTGTGCCCTGGGTGGTGCTCTGATATCCTGGTCATCTCCCCAGACCCACCACTTCCACCCCTGCTGGCCAAGGGGCTATTCCACTCAAGTCCTGCTGCAGGACCTGTACCAGTCACCATGCACCGAGGCTCAGCGGCCCCAGACTTTCAACAGCAGTGCCAGAGTCAGTGTGTCGGGGACTGGTGACCCTGTTCTCTGTCGTGACCTTGTCTCCGGGCTCTTTGACCTCTCCTCCTGCACCTTCTCTCGATGTTCCTTCAATGGGGTCTTCCAGCCCCCTGTGGCTGGGAACTTCATTGTGAGTCCAGGAAGACATGGATGGGTCAGGTGCCCTACAGCTCTGGGGGAGTGGCCCTGGTGTGACTGTCCCCCCCCCCGCCCCCCTGCAGGCCTTCTCTGCTTTCTACTACACTGTGGACTTCCTGAGGACCTCGATGGGGCTGCCTGTGGCAACTCTACAGCAGCTGGAAGCAGCTGCCATGGCCATCTGCAACCAGACCTGGGCTGAGGTGAGGCAGGAGGGCTTGGCCAGTCACACCTCCTGGTCATGCTTTGTCCTATAACCAGGGGTCCAAGCCTCTCAGAATATCCCCTGTAGTGGGGGTGACTAAATTAGGCTCAAGTAATGACTGGGCTATGGCAGGGGACATGGGAACCAAGTGAGCTGAAAACAAGACCTGGTGGGCAGGGGAGCAGGTACTGCAAAGGCCCTGTGACATCAGGAGCTTGGAAAAGACAGGGATGGAGAGGCAAGTGGCTGGGACAGAGTGGGGGAGAATGGCCTGCTGGTGGAGGACAACTCAAGAGAGACAGCAGGTAGAACTGCCAGGGTTTTGGATGGGGCTGAGGAGGTAAACAGGACTTCTAGCTTTCTGACTTCTGCCATGCTGCCACATAAGGAGATATGGAGGGGTCTGGCCACCTAGAGTGTGAAGTGTGCACCTGAGTCTTCAGGAGAAATGTGACATTCGCACCCAGTCTTGTCTGTGCCTAGTCTCAGGCAGACTAGGGATGTGAAGAGGTGGGAGCAGGAGGAAGGCTCTTGGGTCCAAGCCTGGAGCTCCTGTTCCCCCGGCCACACACCAAATGCTGCTGCCCTCAGCTCCCTCGTGGCCATCTGCGCCCAGCCTTCCAGGCACCGGCAGTGGCTCAGGAGGGGGACACTGCCATCCAGCAGTCACTCAGTTCATCCCCGAGGGGTGCGCTGTCTAGGGGTGCCCCCTTGGCCTCGGTCTTGCTGCACAATTCCTGGTCGCGTGGCTGTCTCTGGCCTCACTTGGTTTGTGGATGAGGGAGGGTACAGCCCTCAGCGGTCTCCCAGGGTTGCCGACTGGACGTTCTTCCGCCCGCGTTCCAGCTGCAGACTCGAGCGCCAAGGCAGCAAGCCCGCCTGGCCGACTACTGCGCTGGGGCCATGTTCGTGCAGCAGCTGCTGAGCCGTGGCTACGGCTTCGACGAGCGCTCCTTCCGCGGCGTGGCCTTCCAGAAGAAGGTAGGTGGGCGGGGCGGGGCGCGGCGCGACGGGGCCTCCGGGACACTGATGAGCGCCTCCCGTAGGCCGCGGACACGGCGGTCGGCTGGGCGCTCGGCTACATGCTGAACCT